AAGGGAATATTTTTCTCCTGGTTAACATAACCTGTCTTTTTGCTTTCGCTGCCAACATTACTTATGCTGTCCTTACCATGTGTTTTTGTCTCAGGCACTCAAAAGCTCAAATCCATCACCAAGTGGCTTTTGCACAATTTCATAATTGTTTGTTTTTCTGACAAGATCAAATTATAGCTAGTTTAGGTTCAGAGCTCCTGGTAAGCACAATGTAAAGAGCCCACATTGCCAGCAGCACGAATACTTTCTGAGTGTATGAAATGATCTGACTGCTTAATCTACACAAAAGCTAATAAATGGATTGAATTCTTCAGAGAACTGACTAGGTGTTGTAAGAATCCCACAGGTCAGGGAACCCTGATTGCTCTTTGGGCTGACAAGGGAGGGAGAATTGATTGGGGGAGGGGGAGGGAAATGGGAAGTGGTGGTGGGGAAGAGACATGAATCTTTAATAAATAAATAAATTAAAAAAAGAGTTCTACTTGTATGGGCTAAAGGGCTAGGTTCTGTGGGAATCTTACAGCGAGACCCTTGAAAACAGTCTCATGTCATTCATTGCTGTGCCTCGGTGCTCCATATTGTAAGGAATAGTTCATCGACCTGTGTCATCTCATATTTCACCTGTAAAGATGCCTTTTTAAGTGGGTTATAGGCACTTAGATCATGCCCAGCACTTTGTCACATAGTTTTTTTTTTATCACAGAAGACACATACAAAGATCTTAGTCCACTCAGTCTCTGCTAGTCTCAGTCACTGTCACAACTTCTTTTTCTGTGTCAATTTTCTTTGTAGCCCTTTGCTTCAGTTCTTTGCTCCCCCCATGAATCAGCACAAATGATTTATACTTATACACATATTGATATCTGTTCTTTATGGACTGAATTGAATGGAGCACCAGTACAAAAATGAAAATGCCGGGAACTACTGTAATTGCCCAAATTGCAACTTAGATCATATGAACTGCACATGACACACTGTCATCCATCATAAATATTAAGTTCCCAAGCACATAGACTTCAATATGTTTTAACTTGTCTCTTTAACCAGCTCAGCACTAAACATTCCAGTGGAGAAAATTCAATTTCTTTGAATTCTGAAAGGGCCATATTTTAAATTTCTTTCCATGTTCCATTGGTAGTAAGTGAATTGCAGGTGAAGAGAAAGGGTTATGTACCACTTGGTATCAGAGGCTGGCTATTGGGTGGCCCTTGATAATGAATGCTGATCTGTCAAATTGTCTGGGATGAAGTTGGAATTCACCAGCCCTTTCATCTGCCTTCCCTGTGTCAGACAAAAACTAACCTTTATAGAATTCCCAGTGTTCTCCACCATTCTGAAAAGGCCATGCTAGGCTATTAGGCCTGGCTTTTTTCTCTTCTGGTCTCTGTTTTTGGCAGCATCATTTTGGCATTCTCAATAACTTTGTTTCAATATCCCATTCCCACCTGGACCCTTCTCCACCAGAAGCTGTGTTTATTCTTTCTTACTCCATAAAATTTGGGCTTGGTGTGTGTTCTTCTAAGTTACCAAAGGAAAAAGATTGTCTGAATTTGACAAAGGACCCTTTTATTACCACTGGTATTTCTTAATGTGTAAATCTAAATAAAAGAAAAGTATAGGGTTTTTCTGCATGGGATAAAGACTGGTTTGCAGAGCGCAATTTCTGACATCTGTCAAATAATTGCCCATCAGTATTTCAAATGTCAATCACAATTATGCCACCCTATTGCTTCTGTCTGCTGTGTATCAGAGCATAGTGCTATGGGGCTAAGGACTGCTAAGAAGTAAGAGGCTAGGGAAGTGGAGAATAAAATGAATGATTTAGGGAAGGAAGAAAGGCATACGGGAGTGAGATACAAGTAGCTATTTGTTGAAAAATCTGTAATGCAAGTTTCATCAGAATTAAAATGACTACAGGATGACTTCATACTATTGGCTTCTAAGTCTGTAAAACTGTATCAGCCTTCATGGATATCCCTTTACATGTTTACAGATGGAATACTATCTTCAATGGTTAAATTTTTCTTTATGAAATGAGTGTAATTCCTCTCCCCTATGGCTTTGAGATGCTGTCCTTAAGTCTTTATTGATTTTTTTCAGCTATTGGAAGGTCCTTTTCTCCTGTTTCTGAACACCTAAGCAAAGTCAGTTCTCAAACTATTACTCAGACTCAAGCAAACATATAATGTCTGAGTTCCACAGTGTTTCCTGCCCTTAGCTGGTTTTCAACTTTCCTGTTCATGCTTTTTCCATTGAGCTCAATAGTACTCTGCATGCTTTGTCACATTATAGAAACAGAATAGATGTTCTTTCTTCAGACTCTGAAATCTTTGAAAGTGCCTTTAAGAAATCTACATGGGAAGCAGAAAAAGACAAGATCTCTTGAGTAAAGTGGGAACATAGGGACCTTGGGAGACGGTTGAAGAGGAGAGAAGAGGCAGTGAAAGGAGCAGAGAAAAATGTAGAGCTCAATAAAAATCAATAAAAAAGAATTCTTTCTTGAATAATTCTTCCTTTTGGTCATTTCCTTGCACAATAGATTGATACATGAACTTTGTTATGAAGTCTTGTAATATTTTTTAAGTAGTAAGTTTGCCAGAGTATACCAACTACTCCTGTAGATCTGAAAGATTTATCTCTGGTCATATTAGTCTTATATTTTATGGGAATCAATGACAATTTTTTAGATGTTAAGAAACAGTGTTTGATATTTGAACAACACATTAAATTCATAAACTACACTTTTAAACTAAGTTAAAAGTTCTTAATTTATCACAATAGATTCCATGCTAACTACTGCTAGTATAGAAAACTTCCAGGTTGAAATAATTATATTTTCAAATGGATGTCAAATGCATACAAGATTTCTTTAGAACCATCCAAAACCACTTATCACTTGACTAATGTTTCTCAAGTTCTACTTTTATTGCCTTTGACAAAATGACACAGATTGCTTTTTAGGTTTCTAAACTGTTTCTATTAGTTAGAACATTTAATTCCAATTTTAGGAGTTACATGAGTGGCATAGTATCTTGAGGATCAATCTAGATTTCTTTTTGTTCTTTCTGTACTTTTTATTATTCCATTAAGTTAAACGGTTATTCACTATTACTCTGTAGTGGCTTTTTTGCTAGCTTTATTGGGTAGCGGAAAACAAAACTGGCATAGTTTTTGCTCATTTAGAGCTTCAAAAAGCAAGCAAAACTTACATGACCTAAATAAACAATTTCAAGTGGGATGAGTGCTATGAAAGGGAGGTTCTATGAGCCCTTAGTCTAAGGGATTATTGAGTGATTCCTTAGACTGTTGAGAAAGTGAAATTCTAATTGAGACTTCATGAATAATGTTATCCACCATGAGGTATGTTTATCTATTAGAAATAAAGACTCCACTAAAGAAAATAAATAGCCTAAATAAAGGAGAGTTAATTTTGCCTCTTATATAAGAGGAATTCAGATCTGATGAGGTGTCTATAGATTTACAGCAACCCAAGGACTTTCTGTTTCTACTAGACACACTTATACTTAATTTATATGAATTCGAATATTAATTACTTTGCCTTTGTTTTTCTTCTAGCCTTTCTAACTCCTCCAGTCCTACCTCAGAGTCTTATTTTTGTAAATATTAAGCTGATCATATTGTGAGGCATTGTAAAATATTATGAAAATTTTTATTAGGTCATCTTTATATAAGAATGTCATAAACATCAATTAAGCTGGAAAATTAGGGCTATAAACAAACTATTTTAATTCATATTTATTCAGTGATCGGGCTCTTGTTAACCCTTTATCCATGCTTTAGTAATGTAATCTTTGTAGGCTTCTGAGAGCCATATAAAAGACTTAGTCATGAATAAAGCAGAGCTGGAAAGATAAAAATATGTTATTGTAATCATTGTGGATTCTAACTATTGAGAACTTCTATAGTATGTCTAATCCAATCAGCAAAATATTTATGTTTTAGTAACATGGGATAGACTGTATATATTTTTGTGGTTGTCTTAGTTAGGGTTTTATTGCCATGAAGATGCACCATGACCATTCTTATAAGAGTTGCCGTGGTCATGGTGTATCTTCATGGCAATAATATATGTCCAGAAATGAGAAAGAGGTAGATTAAATAGTTTTTCTGCTATATAAATTTGAGGAACCTTCTATTTTGTTCTCCCTCATAGCTCTTGTAATTCGCATTCCTACTAGCCATGGATATTTCATTACAAAGTAAGTCCTTAGTAAAAGTGAAAATTCAAACAAATAAGGAGAAAGAGCTAGTTTGTGGCTAATTAAATGACCCCAAACATATAAGAGGGATGAGTGTGTGTGTGTGTGTGTGTGTGTGTGTGTGTGTGTGTGTAGGGCTAATTGAAGCCTGTGAGTTCTCTGGAAAAAAGAGGTCACAGTGTATTCCTTCTGATAAGAAATCTGGTAATTGTGATGTCATAATGAAGTGCTTTCTTGGGGGAATTGGTGGTCAAAAAGAAATTATGTATTAGGTTTTCAAGTAGAATCCACAGTAATCTATGATGGGTAAGATGGAAAGATGCTCATAGTGTTCATAAAAATTGTGTTCAAGTTTCTTTGATAAAGTGAACATTTGATTTCCTCCCTTGTTACCATGTCCTCTTCTGTTGAGTGCACCTTCAAACATCGGTGGTTTTTAGCAGTAGGTGTTGATAAAATTGCTGACTCTCCATATGCTAGCTCTCAGGATAAACTTTTAAAAATACGTTTTCATCATAACTTGTTTCTTTTTAGGATTTTTGTTTTGTCAGCAGTGGGAACAGCGAGGATCATAAAAAACAAGTAATGTTTAGAGGGAGATCTATAGCTTTTTAAAAATCCATTTTCTCCACATTAGTCCCAAAAGGCAATAAAGGACTATCCAAAGTGCTATTTCCCAAAAGGCCCTGTGGGTATCAGAGAGACCAGAACACTGTGGGGTTGCAGTGATTACCAGAAAAAAAAGCTGATGAAATTGATATCTTCCTTTTCTTTTTACAGATCAGAATGAAGGATTTCATTGCAGGGAGGAATGCCGGATTCTTGGCCACTCTGATAGATGCTGGATGCCACGGAATCCCATGCCCATCCGCTCCAAGTCTCCTGAACACGTGAGGAACATCATCGCTCTGTCCATTGAAGCTACTGCTGCTGATATTGAGCCTTATGACGACTGCGGCCCCACCAAGCGGACATTCGCAACCTTTGGAAAAGATGTCAACACCCACCGGGCTGAGGAGCGGCCCATCCTGAAAGTCAAGAGGACTGTCGATGTGACCATCTGCAGCCCCAAAGTCAACAGTGCTATCCGGGAGGCAGGCAATGGCTGTGAGGCTATTAGCCCTGTCACCTCCCCACTGCATCTCAAGAGCCCTCTGCCTACCAAGCCTACTATGTCTTACACGGTCGCCCTGGTTCCTCCAGCTCGTGATCTGGAGCACCATGCCAACAATGGCGCCTCTCGTCCTTCTGAAGCTGAACCCCGTGGAGCCGACAGTGAGAAAGTCATGCATGAGGTCAATCCTATTCTGAAGGAAGGGCGTGACAAGCAGTCTCCTGTCGTGAAGCGTCTGAAGGATATCATTCTGTAAACCCATCTGGGGAAGAAGAAAGAAAAGAAATTACACTGGCTAGTGAAGATGCAGCATCTACTCATTTTCCTCACCCATGGTTGGTTCTTGAGTGGCTGCACTGTAGAGATTTCCCAAAACGTATTGTGTATAAATGACTATCATTCCGTGACAATCCCTCTCGTTTCAGCAGGCAGCAGGGGTGTTCAGTTGGAGCAAATTAGCTTTGGCTTGAGTTGTTCATGGGGCCTTGATGGTGGGGAAACAGAGGCAAATTCAGTTGTGAAAAGTATTATGTATTAAGTGTTTGAATTTATATATTTTTCTATGTCAAAATGATAATATAAATTACCATTGTTTGTGAAGAATTACATTTAAAAAAGCAAAAAGAAAAAAAAAAGAAAAAAAACCCCTCTGGACACCTTTAATAAGCTCGCCACTGTTTTTTGTAGTGTAGACAAGTTATTGGTCATTTATTGTGTACTATTCATTGATTCAGTGACGTGAAATCGAGCCCCCAAAAGGTTGTTTCTGAAGCTCGAGTCCTTTCCAATGCCGCTTCTTTGCTGTGGACTCCCCTGCTTTAAGAACCCTTTTGCTAGCTGTGCTGTTGTTGTATTTGATATTGCAAATTGCTATGTGTGTGGTGATGGCAAAAGGCTTTTAAAGGTTGATGTTTTCTTTTCTTAAAAAAATAATAAAAATACAGACAAAAACAAAATGCAGAAACTGAGACAGCAGGTAAATGAGCAACACTACACCTAGAGGTTGAGTACTTGGATACTCACTTTTTTTTAATCCATGTAGTGGTTGCTCACTACCTTCCAGAGGATTTCTCCTGTCTTTCAGTCTTCTGCCCGGGTCTGTGCGAGATCATTGTAGAAAGTCATTTTTGGATATGCTGCTATCTAATTTGCAGTTGTCAGAAATACTGTGCTGAAAATTTTATGAGATGCATTATTTTTTTTTCTAATTTTCAGACCCTGAACAGGAAAGTTACTCCTGATGTTATCAGTTTTCAGGCTGAGAAATTCCCTGTCTCCAATCATCTAAAAATCATGCAACATGACTGAGTCTATTTTGAGATCTAAATTACCATCTCTTTAGACACACACTTCCTGATTCAGTGTTTTCCCAATCATGATTGGAATTAGATGGTAAAGCACATCATGGGCTGGAATCAAGGGCTCCATGCTGCTCTTTACCTTAGGCTTATAAATAATGATAGAGTAAGCAGTATGAAGTGTACACTTAGGAAAAGCCAGGTACTAACATCACTGATCTAATTACTGTGCCTTCTAAACGGAGACACTCAGACACTTGAACACGTCTTTTTATGACTAACACTTTTTTGATTAAAAATGTGAACAAGAAATTATTAAAACAAAAATCCCTTAGATTTAGTAACTCTTTTTTGCTGTAGGCTAGGAATATGCCTTTTTAAACTAACAGAGCACCCATTCTTTTTGTTCTTTTTAACAGTGCACAAATGCCCCTTTTTATTATCTGTCTATTAATATTCACTAGCCAACATAGTATTCTTGCAGCCTAAGAGTTCATTATTTAAAATAAACTAAAAAAACATGTCCTCTTTGCTCTACTTTTGTCTTAAAGGAATTTCTTCTTAAGAAACAATTTTTTTGGTTCCTTCCTCTCTTTTTCTCCCTCCCTCCCTCCCTCCCTCCCTCCCTCCCTCCCCTGTCCTTCCCTCCCTCCCTCCCTCCCTCCCTCCCTCCCTCGCTGCCTCCCTCCCTACCCCGTCCTTCCCTCCCTCCCTCCTTCCCCCTTATCTCTCATTTTTTTTTTGTAATTCAAGAACACTCAGAAAGAAAGTCTAGAAGTTAGAGCACTAGAATTCAAAACAGAATTTATTTTCTTAAGTTTAGGTAGATACAGTCAGCTCTTTGAAATATTTTCATTATTTTTATCTGAGTTCCTAGCTTTATACATTACTAGGAATTTTTTCTTTTGTGGGAGGTGGGAGGGTTGTAAGGAAAGGGGTGGGTAAGGCACTGGGCATGGGGTTAGGTAGGGGAGAATATTTCTGGGGATAAAAGAAACATATAATGAAGCTACAAATCCATCCTTATTTCCTGAATACTACCTCATGCAAAATATTGGGTTGGCTGCAAATTTCTCCCTGACACAGTTAGAGACCTTTACATCTTCCTCTTGCTTCATTTAACTTTCTCTCATATATGTTCTCCTCTTCTGGTTTATTTCATTTTGGTGGTAGTAGATTATAAATTAGGTATTTATTTTTCCTTCCAAGTGACTATTTGATTAACATATTTAGCTTTTTAAAAGTGCCCTTTAAGTTGGGATGGCTGCCTATAGAATTGAGACTGATCTTCACCAGGATCCATCGGAGAGTATCTTGTTTGCTAGCACCTCAAGGTCACTTTGTAGTCAGATTGGACAGCTTTCTCCAGGTGGATTTCTTACTCTGCTCAGTGGAAACGAGGTAGTTTGAAAGATTGTGGAAAGTGGAGATGGAATGGTGGAATGCAGAGAGGCCACTGCCTGCCATGTGTCTTACCAGCCAATTAAAAAACGGGTGGCATTAACAGTGATTTGTTTTTTTGCCTTTAAAAAAAAGAAACTAAAAATTTTGTCCCCGGAATTTCATTTCAGTTCCAAGCTTAGTCTATCTAAAATCATTGTTCTCAGCAGGCAGTCAGAGATATATATTTTTTTTTTTGCTTTTTGTTTCAGAACTCTTTACTGAGTATGCATAAGAATCCTCATTAAGGAAGTATCTTTCCCCCTTCAATTGTCTGATGGAAGTGCAAGCGCATCCTAGGAGAGCTTTGTAGGCAGGTTCTACAGGCCAACTGTGCTTGCAAATAGGACTTTTGTGCAAGGGTCTTAAATTCCCCACGGACTCGGGATTCTCCCACTCCCTTTTTTAACATATGTGATGTAAAGCTACCAAGGCCAGTGGAGCAAATATTTTTTCCCTTTCTTTCTGCAAACATGTTACACAGAAACACGTGGGAACAATTTTAGTTCCCAAGTCCTAGGGAGTTCTATTCCACTTATTCTGATGTCCCTGGGCCATGAAGTGTAACATGCTTAAAAATTTCCTGGCCAGGTAAATGTCTTTATTCAGTATAGTGCATCTAATTTGCATTGATTGACTGCTTTCTCCCAAACATGGGAACATGCTATTCAGCAAAAAATGGGGAGAAGTGATCCACAATGCCCTGTGGAAACTTGTTCCCACCTGTGCAGTCTTGTAAATTAACCTGTTCAGAATGAATCTTAGTATTTCATTGTTCCTCTGAAGCCAGTAGAAAAAGTGAGGGTCTGTCTTGGTTAAGGAATCACGTAGTAGTTCCTGCACAACAGTGGTTCTCAAAATATCATCTCAAAGCAACATCACTTAGGCACTTCTTGAAATGATAGGTCTTGATCCCTGCCTAGAATGGCTGTATAAGAAATCTGGAGGAATTGGCACAGAAATCCATGAGTTAGTTGCCCACTCAAGTTTGAGGGCTTGTTAAAGCACAGTTTGGTAGAGCCTAATCCTTAGCGTTTCTTATGCAGTTGTTTGGGGGTAGGATTTCTTTTCCTATCTACAGATGCCTAGGAGATACTGATGAGACAATGATCCAGAGGAAACTTGCCTCATAGGACTAACTACACCTAAGCTGGACATTGATACAAATTTGTTGACATGGTGACCAGCTGTTCATTAATGAAAGATGTTACTCTGAACTCTGAAAATAAAACCACACAGAATACCTTCCAGATCCTGTCGTCTCAGCATATGGCTATTAGAGGGGAATTCAGAGGACTTTTTTCTCTACACCTACCACTAAAAAGCAAACACAAGTGGTCTACTTGGTGTAGAAAGAAGCGGGGCAGTTTGGGAGAGGCAGGGATGGAAGGGATAGCTTTTTTTGGGCATCCAAGGCGGAGAAAGGATTATTACTGTACATAATCCATTTTATGGGGATCATTTTGATGCCAGATGTTCCCCCAAGGCACTCTCAACAAGTCTGGTCTGCTTGGCTCTTTTCACAGGGTAATAAGACCCTTCTGACTTTGAAAAACTGGCATAAATGAGCTGAAGAAGTCCATTGTATACAGTCCTAGTGTTTGCCTTCTTGGTAAAATTACATTTTAAGGATGTCATTTCATGAGTCAAATTGTATCTGCTGACACTAAAGTGTATTGAGATGTTGTTCTTTAGTTTAAGTATGTATCAAAGTAATATTCAAAGGGGATGTATGGGGGTGGGACTGGGACTGGGTGGCTTTATATTGATAATGAAATATTCCAGAGCAAAACACATTGTCCTAATGAAGTTGTTGCAGCTCTCTTTGTTTTCTTGTGAAACTGAAATTGGCCTGTGGGTCACTTGTCGTGCAAAAGTGAATTAATTGCAAATAGGAATCACATTGCTTTTGTAAAACAAAGAAAATCAACCACCTTGTCTGAAGTATACGTTGTAAGGCGCGCTTGGTAAAGAACAACCTAGAAACACCTGACCTTGAGTGGAAAGCATTGTAGGTCATTAGGGAAATCTGATGATGCTGACTGTTGCTCCAGCTGTGTTGGCAATTAAAGATGACCTTGTTACTAACTGAATGTTGCTGTCAACCTTAGCAAACAAACCAGCTAACACTTTACAGCACCAGTTAAGTAGATGTTTACTGGCACTGGCTGGCATTCAGCTGAGGAAGGCTAAGATCCAGACTAATGACCAAGGGCCAGACTAGGTCTAGCTAGAAATTCAGCAACAAATACCTCCTTGTGCTATTGGAATGCTAAGGTATTAGTTGCAAAAGGCTAAGCCTTCGCTCCTCTAGTGAGGGGAATGAGCCTGATGACACTATTACTGTTTACCTGTCAAACCAGGGTGGCAATTTAGAAGGATACAAGTACAGTACGTTTCATTAAGCAGTCTCTGTTGCTGATTATATGAAGATGAAATGGTTGTATATGCTGATCTGTATGTTATGTACATTTTCACAGTGATTGAATCATTGTAAAAACAAAAAAGACAAAAAAGA